TGGCTGAAAAGGACTCCATGACCTGTGGTGGGTCAGTACAGTTTAACCAACGTACGCCTCAACCGTCTCACAAACCCCGGGAGTATGTTCTGACCACTGCGGTTGGAAGCGGCTGTTCGGAACAGTGACCACAGTTTGCTAACTACTGCGGTGGGATGAGGAAAGTACTCCCCCATTTTTGTTTTTTTATTTTTGAAGCCTGTTCCTCTTTGAAGCACATTCTACTCAAATTTCAGCATATCGACGAGGTCGGAGAAAATTAGGTCGGACAAAAGCTAGGTCGGACAGCATTTTTAGGGATTTTGGAAATATTACTAGGTCGGAGAAAAGTAGGTGGGTGACCTGCACGCGGGGGTGCGACACTCTCGGTGCGACCAGTGCCTATGGTACTATGATACCTGTGTGTTTGTAGTGCCGTTAGTACTCATAGTGCCTGTAGTACTTGTGCCCATGGTGCCTGTAGTTCTAGTGCCCATGGTGCCTGTAGTAAAGCCCATGGTGCCTGTAGTACTAAAGTCCAAGTCTGTAGTACTAGTGCCCATGGTGCCTGTGGTACTACTGCCCATGATGCCTGTAGTACTAGTGCCCATGGTGCCTGTAGTTCTAGTGCCCATGGTGCCTGTAGTAAAGCCCATGGTGCCTGTAGTAGTAAAGCCCAAGTTTGTAGTACTAGTGCCCATGGTGCCTGTAGTACTACTGCCCATGGTGCCGACAGCCCATATGGTGCCTCTGGCCGATGACGCGCCAGCAGAGGCAGACTCCATGAATTCGCCAACGCCGACCCTCAATATCCGTGCGAAGGGAAGCCCTTGACATTTCTGGTCCTGGCGAGTTGCACAGACACTCGCCCCGGCCACCCTATGACGTCACCGCTGACCGGTGACGTCGCGTACGGCAGGCGGTCGATGTGCGGGGAGGGCTGTGCGTGAGGGTAGCGGGGCGGGCGGAGCAGTCTGAATGACCATTTGCTGAACCTTAACCAAGCTCAATGTTGCGTACTAGCCGGGGGCAAAGGTCATGGTAAGTTTCAGCTGGGGGTGTGCCATGCCCTATTGGATGAATGATTGCCATTCCCTGCTGGTTTTAAGTCCTAATTGTTTATCGGTTTGAAAAGGAGTGAAAAAAAAACATACATTATTTTCCATCCAGGCTTTTGATTTACCATTATAACCACGATATATCTATCTACATCGTGATTACAGCCTACAATGCGCAATGCGTTACTGCCAATTTTTGTGAGTGTTTGACAAGGATAGTCAACGATTTCTTTATTTGGAATTTTATGCACAAACAGCTAAGAGCTATTTCTGAAATTAAATCACCAAATTTGATACTATAAAACAGCATAATTTTTTATTTTCATTTTGTACTCTGTATAAAACTTGGTTGCCGAGACCAAGAAGCTTTGCACTGCGTTTCTGTGTACTGAGTCGGGTGCACACACAGACGGTGCAGGGCTGATTGGCCGGGGGTATTGACGGCCGGCAACACGGGGTGTGTGGCTAGTGTTTGTGAGTGTGTGTGTATGTATGTATGATAGTGAGTGTGAGTGTGTGTGCGTGTGGCGCTCAGCGCGCTCTGTTCCAGCCGACGGGCTGCCCAATGTCACAGCAATGCGCCCCGCCTATTGATTTCCTATAGAGACAGTCTGACAGATGTAAGGGAAGAAAACGCACAAGGGGAACGGGCTGGGTTGGAGGGGGCGGAGAGGAGGGAAGCGAGTGGGGAGAAGGGGGGAGTACGCGGCGGACAAAAGAACAGATACCAGCCCAATTAGAATGTCGCCTGGGTTTAGTGACCTCTCCCCCTGTTACACTATCGTGCATGTTGGTTGTGCATGGTATCGTTCCGGTGGCGAGTCTCTTATTCTTACTTGTGAAACTTTCTCTCCTCTTTTTGACGAAAATTTCAAGGTGTAAAATCAGTGGACAATTATTTTTCTCTAAACTGCGTTTCTCTTTAGGATAACTTCCACTCTAACTGCATCAAACTAAAATGTCCATCTGTGACTTGATAATTTTTTTCTAGGTTTGCAGCTACAAAAAAGCATTAGCAGAAATAAACGTTTAGTGGCACAACACAACTGCTCATGGCCTTAGCTATCCTGGTCGCAAACTTAAAATTACAATTTAGTTTTAAACTGATAACATTTAACATTGATAACATTGGGTGGTTCCAAAACAGGTAATCTGTGATTGTACATTGTTTTAGGGTGATTGACTCGAAATAACAATTTTAAACTGTGGGTTTTAATTACGACATTGATTCTCATTACAACTATATGGCCGTGCTGTAGGTTTTCTTTTTAAGTGTAGCTGTACAGATAGCTCACCATCCCGACCCTGTTCGTCCGCCATGGTGGGCCCCGCGGGGCCCCTCTGGCGTCGCCGACAACTCCACGACGTTCAGCTGCTCGCGGCCGCGGCCGCCTCGGCGCGCACCGCTTGGCTCGCCCCGTCGACGGCATCCTGGCCGACACGTCGTCCGGGTCGCGGGGCACGGCTGCTCGGCGCGGCGCGACGCATGGTTCGTCTCCGCACTTCGCGCACGCACCCGCCGCGATCACTTGGGGGTGGACCCGATACCGACACACGCACACAGCGAAAATTTGTCGTTGTTCAGTCGTAAGCTAGTGAATTTGAACCGTAAATAATTTTCACGAAATTCCAAAAAGTAATTGTCGACATTTCCGAGAGAGTTGTTTCCCAGTGCACACAGATGCACACACGCGCGCACGCGCACGCACACACACCACGTGAGGCAGAGCTGCCCGCGCTCGCGCTGTGTTCGCCCGCCCCGAGCCGCCGGTGCTGGACAAGCTATTGCCGATACGACCCGCCCGGCCCCCGGCCCGGCCCGGCCGCCTCGGTGTGGGACAGTCCCCCCCCCCCCCCCCACCACGTGCTAGGAACGACCACCACTGCCCCCCCCCCCTTACACCTGTTTGCATTTAATGGGGACACGTAACTATCCCTAACCAGGCCTAACACGGCAAAAACGAGAGGTGGGTTTCCAAGCCGAGGATACCTGTTTTCGAGCAGTTTGAGTAAAATCGAGCAGTGCCTATTTTGCATCTTGCATCTTGAAAAGCAGTACGTTCTGCTTGTTTTCCAAGTATCTTTTCATGTTTCCCAAGCTGGCCACCTTGTTTTCTAAGAAATCCGTCTTAGAATCCAAGCTGGTTCTTTTCCGGAAAACGCAGCCTCAAAATCAAGCTTTGCCAGTTTTTTGCCAAGATATTTAAAAAAAAAAAAAAAAAGGACTTCGTCTTGTAAAATTAGCTAGGTTTAAAAAACGTGTAGATTATGAGACGTGGGCCAGTTCTCCCGATTTTTGTGAGAAATATAAGAACAGCTCTCGCTAAGAGTATTTGTGTTTAAATGTGTGCATCGATTAGATTAAGTGTTGTCTGTGTATTCCCCCCCCCCCTTTCCTAAAAAAAATCCTACTGTGATTTTTCCCCAGCATGATAGTGACCGAACAAATACGCAAGCCAAAGGCAAAAAGAAGAGAGAACTTTCCCTGTGCCTTGTTCCTTGTTCTGTTTTGGGGGGTGGGCCCCACCCGGGGTGGGATGCCATGCCGTGCCGTGGTCGATACAGTCCCCAATGGATGGTCTGGTCAGCACCGGCCGCGCTGGCTCGCTGCCCCACTGACATTCAACGCTAGGTATCTGTCTCTCGTCATCGTCATGCGAGAGGTAGAGAGAGAGAGAGAGAGAGAGAGAGAGAGAGAGAGAGAGAGAGAGAGAGAGAGAAGATGGACTTCCTGGCCGTCTCACCTAGTCAGTCCCGAGGCACTACTTACGAATGCTCACACCACTTAGTATACATACGATGGTTGTTGTGCGTAGCGTACTTTAAGAGCAGTGAGGGAAAGACCGCGACCATGACGGAGTGTGCAGCCCTACGTCACAGAACAGTCAAAAGTCCGGTCGGCGACGTAATTGCTCAAGCCCAACTCCCTCCAAAAAATTAAAAATGGGGGAATGCGCCGCTCACCCCGCAACCGGCGGCGACTTCTGAGTTCTGACGTGGATCAGCCGCAGTGCTCAGTGCTCAGAACATACTCCCGGTTGTTGGACTTACAGGAGGTGTCGCAAGGTGAGCAAGACTGAAACCCAGATTCCGAGGCCTTACCTCCGATCCGAGGGGACTTTTGACTGTTCTGTGACGTGGGGCTGCACTCCGTCATAGTCGCGGTCTTTCCCTCACTGCACTTAAAGTACCCCTTCATGTCGTCTGAAGCCTGTTCCCTCAAATTTCAGCATATCGGTGAGTTTGGAGAAAAATAGGTCGGACTGGACCTAGGTCGGACAGTACTTTTGGGGATTCTGGAAAAATCACCAGGTTGGAGAAAAATAGGTCGGACAATCTAAGTACACTGGTGCCGTACAACTTTTAAGACTTTTTCTCAACCTCTGGCTCTTGAAACCCATTTATTATTATTCAATAAATTTCAAACTAAATTGAAAAGTTATATCTTATTGCATACGAAAATGGTATTCCGTAGTACAATACAAGAGCTTGCTTTTGTAGGAGTGTTCTACCGCCCCTAGCCCCCGGAACCTCACGTGGTGCGTGCGTCGCCGACGTCATCCTGACCACCACTGCAATGTAGCTGTTTCCTTTTTTTTTTGTATTCTTTGCCACTTCCCTATCTCTGGCGAACCTGGCCCGTTATTGCGGTGGTAGTGTTCCCCGCCCCCTCTCACCGCTGACCCCCGCACACTATCTGATCACCCCCCCCCCCCCCACCAATGAGTGTCCTGACAGAAATAGACTCCTCTACGGAAAGGTCGCATCGCCGACGACACACCAAAGGGACAAGGAACCAGAAAAGGATTAGAGAAAAACACCGTGTCTACCTGCCATTGGAACAGAAATGCGATAATTTTTTTTATAAATACTAACTCAAACGCTGCTCAATATTTCCCATTTATTTTTAAACGAGTTTGCACCAAAGGCAATGAACAACTAAAAAGCTAACACAATAAATAACATTAACCTCTAAAACAATAAATTATTCCAGTATAAACTTGTCGCGCAGAGGCTGGTCCGGACCTCTCAGTTTGGCGCGTCGGTGCAGGCGATCTGCCGGTAGGCGAGGCTGAAACCGCGGCCCGTCAGGTTGCCGTTGGTGCGCACCGGCACCACGAAGGGCCCGCTCCCGCTGTCTGCAACGGCAAAACAGTTGACGAACTTCAACGTAAGGCTGACAAACTTCAAAAAGAAGTCTATGAGCTTCGGTAAAGAGATCCATCCTACCCGTGACGGGGCTGTTGTGCGTGTAGTCGGAGTCCACGGACGCGTCGTTGAGTCGCTCGCCGCATAGACGGATGCCGTTCAGGACGATGTAGTCACTCGGGCAGTTGAACACCTCGGCGCCGGCCTGCCCCGGCGGGATGGTGGGCGCGCCGTCTGTCGACAGGTCATGCACGTACTCGTTCATGGAACTTTGGACTGTACAGAGGGCAAGTACAGAGGGAGCGTGACATTATTCGTACTCTGGTCCTCGTTGAGGAGCTGGAAGGGCGCGGCCGTGCCGTTGGACGACACCGTCGAGTACGTGATGCTGCAGAAGCCCGCCTCCTTGCGGACGCAGATGGCGTAGTTGAGGTTGTTCTGCACAGCAGACATACAAACACAAACTGTTGTTCTTAAAAGACAAAAAAGGACAGAGTAGGTTGGGAGCCGTCTCTCGTAAAATTTTACAAAAGAAAGGGCAAAAAATTGCAAAAGAAATTGTAAACTAAAAATTGTTCCCAAAAAAACGTGAGAAAAATGAAATAAAAGTGATTGTTACAGTGTAGGAGCCCGAGATGTAGCCGAAGGACTGGACGCGGCCGGCGTGGCCGGCGTGGTACTGCAGACAGCTGGGCGGGGCCGCGCCCTCCTCGCGGGCGCGCAGCTGCGTCAGGCGCACGACCCAGCGGCGGGCCTCCGGGGCGGCGGGGCCGGGGCCGGCGCGCCACTGCACGCCCAGGCGCACCGTGCCGCCCGACCCGCCCACCTGCACGTACACTGCAAGCACTGGATTATTCACCGGCAAACTTTCCCCCCTCAAAGTTCCAGAGTCCCCGGACACCTACTGTGCTGGCCGGTGTTCGTGCCGCACAGCGCGGGCGTGGGCGCGTTCCGGTCGGGGCTGGCCACCACGAAGCGCTCCTCCACGCAGGTGCCGTCCGTCGGCGCGGCCAGCTGCGACAGACAAGCGGCGGCTCGAGAGGGTGGTGGGAGGGTTGAGCCAAGAGGGGCACTTCACTGTAAAGCTGACACCGATTTTCTGGAATGTTTCTCTTTTTGTTTTTTTCTGATAAACTTTTCCTGATTTTTTCTGAATTTCTGGGGAGGTTAACACCTTATTTGACTATGAAGTACCCCTTGAGCGAACCGGGGCAGTGCAGGTCGGGGGATGTACCTCGAAGTGCAGGAAGTCGAGCCGCAGCTGTGTCACGTCCGGGTGAATCTTCTCCACCGTGAGGAAGCAGTTGAAGTAGCCGTCCACCGGCAGGTCCACCTCGGCCGCCGGCGAGCTCACGAAGTACGTCGAGTTGTGGCGCGTCGTGCCGCCGCAGGTCTTCTCGACTGCGGGGCAGGGAAAGCACGCACCACGGAGTGAGCAGTGAGCACACCGAGGTATGGACTCCTGTCGGGAAGCAGGCCACTCGCACAGCTCCGCGGCGACGTGTCGCCTACCCACCAGGCCACCAGGCGCCTACTTTTGAGACTTGGGAAAAACTGTTTTCTTGTTGACTCCATTCAAATACCGTTTCAGTCTCTCTCTCTATCTCTCAGTATCTCCCTCCCTCC